TTTGCGCAATCAGCTGATTGCTGCCCCAGCCGCGCATATTTTTATGTTGAGGAGATCGTTTGCAATTACAATTGCTTTTTATTCTCTCTTGTAGTATTTTTTTTTTCATGAAAGAGGAGAAGCATTCTTTTCGCCAATTATTTAATATGTTAAAACTAATACAAAAAGGAAATTTTTGTAGAAAAATTCTCACCATGCAGAGTAAAAGTCCCGTCCCTCATTAAATTCAAAAATGCACGACTGAGTCAAAATGGAAACAAAACGTCGCAAGTGGAACCTTACGGTGGAGTCTAGTTTCATGAATTCAAGAGACCGCATTTATTTTATTTTGCATTTATTCAATATTATTAACCCAGGAAACTAGGTTGCACTTGACAAATTTTGCAAATGTAAACAAATATCACCTGTTTGAGTTAACTCAAATTCGGTGGAAATGTTAGACATTCATTTACTTAACAGAAGTCTTTAATGCATTTAAGTGCCCATCTATAAATATGTAGTTTTCTCACTGTAAAAAGATATGGTTTATTTTATAGCCTTTCCCTTTTCAACTGGTAGCACGATGTGTGTAACTGTATAAGTTATTACAGTAGCAAAATATACAAACAACAATGTCGTGACTTTAGCACAACAACAATATTATCAGAATAGCCTAGAAACAACAACAATTTTGTAAATTCAGCGAACAACACTTCTAAAGTAATAAACAATATCAGCATTGCCAAATTGTATCCAACTAAAGTTATTTTCGAAGCGTTAAATTGTCAATTATTATATTAACAGTTTAAACGCATTTAATTTTGATAAATAAAATATCGCAGCAATTACAAACTATTGCGGATCTCGGAAATATGATACTATCAAAAACATTTTGAGTTCTGTATATTGTGAATCCGCAAAATATAATAGTTTTATTTAAATAGTTGCAAAAATATTGATTTCAAAGTTGCAGAAGATATTCAGTATGAAACAGATTCACAGGAATACGAGGTAATGGGAACGAAACCACTTTATAAAGCCATCTTAAGACAGGCGTGAGCTAAGGACTCTAAATTACAAACTGGGATCCTTATCTCAAAAGCAGCTCTACGCAAGAATTAATCACCAGATACAAGTAATGTGCTACTTGACACTTATAGAAGCCGACATACCGACGTATTTATCAGAGGCCTTATCGGTGAATTGTTAATGATCCAATGTCCTAGGAACCTACCTGAAGCATACGCTTCTTGTCTTGAAATACGCATACTTAATCTAAGGATAAATTTAATCTACTCGCGGAATAAAGGAAGCTCAAATGGAATGTAAAACAACAAAAAAAAAACCAAAGCAAATATTCGTAGCAAGAAAACTAATCTCCTTTTGAAAAAAACGTTGAAGCTCAAGCGCCATCTCCATCCAGACCAACCCAACCCACCCATGCGTTCCCGATGGAGGCGGATACCTCAATTTATTCACGAAAAGTAAATTGTATGAGCCGTCCGAAAGTATGCCTACCGTAAAGCCATCTAACAGCTCTTCAAATATTTCTAGGAAAACCAAATGTTATTTAAAAACCAAGCAGTGGACCAGGAATACACCGAAGGTGGAGAGAAAAAAGAGATAAATTTTATGACTGAGACAGATATAAGAACAACAAATGCGGAGCCGATCTATACAAAATCACACCTTCGGGGGAAAGTGGAGCAACAGGTAACACAACTTTTAAACAATGGTGTAATAAGGCCTTGAAAAAGCCCGAAAAACTTCCCATACTGGATTGCCAAAAAAACCAAGTCCATCCGGGGAAAAGAAGAAGAGAGTTGTCGTTGACTGCGATAACCATGCGTAACTCCTACGCAAAACTTGATATAAACAACACTCCAGCTACAATTGCTTAGGCGAATGTAAGTACTTTACTACACACGACTTCACATCCAGATTTCACCAAATCAGGATAAAGGAAAGGTATATACGAGCTAACTAAGTTGACATTCGGTCTTGAAAAACACCCCTTCAATAATGAGGTTCTCAAATCCCGCAAAGACAAATCCTGCTATTTGTTTAGAAGACATGGAAGACTTTATTGATTTTTAAATTCAAATTAACATAGACAGCTTATATTATCTAATAATGAAATATTGAATTAAACTTATACAGAAATATATACATTCGAACTTACCTTATTATATTCGGATACTTTCAGGAATTATCGTCCCCGAATACCCACCACGAATTTACTTTTAATTAAAATACGTACCAGCAACCCTACCTTCGTTACCAATCAAAAAGAAGAAAAGAATGTAATATAATTGTACGTGTATATGTAATGGTACGCTAAAACTCTATTCGGCGGTTGTACCCTTAAAATTGTACTAAATAAACATAAAATAAATAATAAATTTATGTATACACATATATTAAAAGAAGATTACGCGTTTTTAATAAAACACTCAAAAAATAGATAAATACAGCAAGTAGCTAATATTTATACATGGTGCCGAAACCCGTTCGCGAAAGAATCGGTGCAAAAAAATGAGAAAAACATAAAAAACTTTTAAATGAACTAAAAGCGAATGAAAAGGTCGCGTCTTCCATCTTTTCAGATTGATAAAAAAATAAAAATAAAAAAACAAAGCGCAGTGTTAGTGTTAGTCCTAAAAACAACATGCAGCCCTTCGAGATAAAAACATTCGTCGGCACTTATAGCGTACCATTCGTTAATTAAGGTATTCTGTAAGACATTTTTTGATACTATACTGTCCATGCTACCTTCGCAAACAAACATTTCACCGACATCATCAGCAGCCATGCAGCCCCAGATCATAATGCCGCCTCCTCCATGATATTCTTCCCCAAACCGTGTCCTCACGCACGTCACACCAGTTGTTCCAAATATCTGTAGAAAAGCAAAATAAAATTGCTCTAGGGTAAGAAGCTATGGCTGTTAATACTTTAAGATGATCTTAACTAAGCTTGCCTCGAAGATTGATGCATCAGACCACAGAACATTCAACCAATCTTCTTCCGCAAAATGTTGGTATCGGCAAGCCAATTTCAAACGATTTTTCCTATTCTTTTCTGACAGCCACGGCTTCTTTCGGGCTTTACATCCTTTTAAACTTGTTTCCAAAAGTCGAGTCATCTAGCTGCTCGTGCACTAACTGGTTTACTTTTTTAAATTTATCGGAAAGGGCAGCTGCAAGAGCAGAAGAAGATTTTATGTGATCATTGCGTATAAGTATTCAGTCTTCTCGTTCGGTTAGATTTTTTCTTCCACTTTTTGATTTATTGTTGTGGGATTTCGTCTCCACAAATCGCCTGATAGCACATATTTCCAACGATATATAATATGTATATATTTCTTTCACGGGCGCCACTCTCAAACGATTCGAACGGCATCCAGCGGAATCGGGCGCGAACTTATGCACTCATCCAATTTTATAGTGGAGTGCCTAATACTTATGGCCAAGGCTGTATATGTAACAAACTGTGAAAAGTACTACAAACTATGTATAGTACCTATAAAAATGTGCTGGTGAAAATATAATTTAAATAAGCAAAAAAATGTAAAAATAAACAAGACCATATGTACATAAATACGTAACAAAATTAAAAGAATATAAGTGAAACAGGAAAAAAATTATAAGCACATAAAAAACTAACTGAGAAAAAAATGTTGTAGGCATATACCAACGTACAAAGAAATAAAAACAAATGTGCAAAGATGTGCAATAAGATAAAATAAAAACATAAAAAAATACATACATACATACATACCTACATTCATATATACATGTGTGGTAAGCGATCGCACAAAGTGAATAAATAAAAAATAATCATAAAGAGTGCACATAATTATATAAATACACATGTGAATACATGAAACATATATATCCTAATAAATATAAAATAAATAAAAATTTTGAAATTTTTGCCAATTAAATTTAAATTAAATTTATCATACAACATATACAAAAATAAATAATAAAAATTTTAATTGAAAGCTTTACAAAAATTTATTAAGAACAAGCTCCAAAGAAAATATCTACCTCCGAAAACGAAAGAGGAGACAATCAAAACGTCAACAACACAGGAACACCAGCACTGCATTGAAGACAACACGCCCCCTTATCCCGAACATTCATAGGTGGGACCTGAACCGGCCCAGTGTCCGCTCTCATATATCCTCTCAAGTATTTACTTTTATATTCGCGGTTTATACACTCCAATCCATCCCAACGGGCCCAGACCCGTACCAGCGTACAGCCCAAAGGTAACACCCCCATCGCAAGTCACCGCTACTTAACCTTTGTACATACACATATATACATAAAGTGTTTTTTCGCATTCCGGCAATATACACTCCTTCGCTATTTACAATAAAGATACATATGCACATAAGTATACATACGTACATACTCGTATAAGCTAAGCTAAGGCACCCAGAATACAAATAAGTATAATAAAAACCCAGTATACATTTATACATTGGAGTGCTCAGACGCGCTGAGACAATACAGTATACAATATAAAAGCCACCCCCTAAATAAATTAATTTCAAATAATGTACATAAATATAAATAAATATTTTATATTTAACATTCAAAATATAATTTCCTATAATGGAGGATAAAATAGAGAAATCCCAAATCCTCCTCTCCTTACAGCCCTTACAGGGCTCCGAACTCGCTCGAAATCGCACAAGAAATTTATAAACGTGCTATCCGGGATGGAAAAGTTCTGAGGTAAATGGTGAAGCACTTGTGAATAGACTCACTCCGAAGCAGCGCCTAATATTTTCAAGGACCATCTGGAAAGGCCTACAGATGAGCAACGTGGAAAATGAGAAGACACGCTCATCATGCACAGAGGCCTACGACTACTGTGACAAAGAAGTCTTCTATGGAGGATATGAAGATTGGCTCTCATTTAGGAACATGTTCACAGCAGTGCACATAAACCACTCCAAAATTATCCGAAGTGCAGAAGCTATACCACTTGAAGCACAAAACAAGAGTCAAGGCTACACTCCTCATCAAAAATTACCCACTTAATGACCACATTTTCACGTTAGCTTGAGAAGCGCTCAAAGCAAGCTAGGAAAACAAAAGAATGTTAGTAGATGACCAAATAAAGACGTTGGTCAACAATCAACCTGCCCACACAGAGAACGGAGGAAAATTTCAACAGATCCAGAAAACAATAAAAAATTGTCTTTCTACCTTAAAGACAAAAAAAAATAACTATCAACAGAAAGCTGTTACCCAATGCTAGTCTATCTCTGCTCTTCAAAACTGCTGGACGAAACACTCGCTCTTTAGGAGCAATTACTTAACTTAAGGAAGGAGCTACCTCGATGGTCCGAAATGGTCGTGGAGCAAATAAAACCGGTAGAACAAAAACTCTCTCCCACTATTGGAGTAACAAAGAAAGGACATTGTTTCCCACAGCAAATGTTCCCATTCTCCTCAAAGGAGAAATAACTTACATCAGAGCTCTCATTTACCAAGGGTCTCAAAAGAAAGTTGCAACATCCCGTATACAAAAGTTACTTGGTCTTCCCACCGTTAAGGCCAACTACCAAATTCCCGGCATGGGCGATAACACAGTCCAAAACTCGAATAGAATATGCTCTAATACGATATGCACAGCTAATCAAACTGTAAAAACCACGACTCAAGCGATAATACCTTAATTGATACACACTCCCCATCCCTCAAAGTAAAAGAACTAGATCTCACAGAATATCTGTCACTACCATTAACAGACCCCAACTGATTTTCACCAGCTAGAATAGACATGAGTATTGGTAGCGACATAACCTCAAAAATTCTCAACCCAGGCCTCAAATTAATGTAGGCGACATCTTAATAACCCAAAACACAATACTTGGGTGGATAGTAAGTCGACCAGTTGTTGAAAAAGTATCTTTATTCTCTACTCAGGTGATTAAAACCCCTTCAGAATCACCAGAAGAGTTACTCAAGAAACTCTGCGGACAAGAAGAGGTATCACCGGCTCCCACAGATACAGACGAAGATGAATATTGTGAAAAGCTCTACAAAAAAATCACTCATCGACGAGAAGATGGCCGCTACCTAGCAAAGCTGCTATTAAAATAAGCACTCGGGCACTCCAGACCTGCAGCACAGTAGCAATACCTAAGCGTGGAACTAACTAACGAAAAGCAAGATGATTACCTACACCATCACGCGGTGATTAAACCTGGAAGTAAAACTACTACAGTAAGTAGTAGAAAGTAGTGTTGTATGCCCCAAAAATCTCGTATTCCTCTCTCTCAAAGTCGTATTACACACTGGCTCCGTTCTCCAAAATGACTTAGTGCCCATCATTCTAAAAAGGAGATTATATAAGTATGTTTGTAATAGCGACATTGAAAAATGTACCACCAAACATACGTCTATAAGGAAGACCAAGACTTCCAACATGTTCTATTTCGTAAAACCCCCTTTAGTCCGATAGAACATTTTAAACTTAAAACTGTGAAATTCAGTGTCAACCGCGCTCCCTACTTGGCAAGAAGGACACTCAACCAGTTAGCCGAGGCCTCTAGGAAGACATACCTCCTCGTATCAAACATATTAAGAGGCGAGACATATGTAGATGACATCCTCTCAGGCGGACACAATATATACTCTCCAGCGCTGACAACCCAGCTGATCTTGGTAAGCTAAACTTCAAGTGCTTGGCAGCTGTTCACTCTGGTGGAAACATCCAAGTGGTTAACTAGGCCATCCTCAAACAACGACAAATTAAAGCATCTCACTCTTCAGAAGACTCAGACTTTCTAGACCGTTTCTCCACATATTACGTACATATTTCGCTAAGCACAAAAGGCTAGGAAAATGCGAAACCCGCCCTCTACCACTCTTATTCAAAGCGACATAAAGTTCGCAAAAATTCGTCTTATAGCTGCCACCCAGCGAAAGTATTTCGGAAAAACCATCACAGCATTGGAGTCGAAATATCCGATAGGAAAAAGAGATCCTCTCCGTACTCTCAACCCCTTGTTAGATAAATCGGGACTGCTGCGTGGGAATGGACATAGCTCCCTCTTCCTCGAGTTTCTCCACTCGACTCTACTGCACGCGGAAAAGAAGCTGATGATTCGTGTGGGAGATAAAATCTTGCATTTTTCGGTGTAAGACGTGCACGTTATACAAACAGAGTATTGTGTGGTCATACTTGATGGCAGCCATACCCCCTGAACAGTCCACATATACACTCCAATTCTATACTACCGTTGTAGATTACGTGTGTGTATTCGTATGTTTCTCCATAAAGGCCATTCATCTAGAAGTATGTTCCGACCTAACATCGGTAGTATTTAAGGCAGCAATCGCACGGATGTAGGACGAAGAGGCAT